CTCTCTAGATTGAGAGCAAAGACCAAAGTCCAACTGAAATGCATGCGGGACTTCCTCTTCGCTGATGATGCAGCCATTGTTGCTCACTCTGCTGAAGACCTCCAACAACTCATGAATCGTTTTAGCAAGGCCTGCCAAGATGTTGGACTAACAATCAGCCTGAAGAAAACACAAGTCATGGGCCAGGGCATGGACTCACCTCCCTCTATTACCATCTCCACGCAAGAATTGGAGGTTGTTCATGACTTTGTGTACCTTGGCTCAATGATCTTGGACACTCTCTCCCTAGATGTCGAGCTGGATAAATGCATTGGCAAAGGAGCTACCATGTTCTCTAGACTCACAAAGACAGTATGGCTGAATAAGAAGCTGTCGGCATATACCAAGATCCAGGACTATAAAGCCTGTGTCCTGAGGACACTCCTGTATTGTAGTGCATCCTGGACCCTTTGTGCATGGCAGGACACATTCCATATGTGTTGTCTCCGACACATTTTTGGTATCATCTGGCAGGACAAAGTTCCAAATAGAGTAGTCCTAGATCAAACTGGAATTTTTAGCATGTATACATTACTGAAACAGCAATGTCTACATTGGCTTGGGCATGTTGTGAGAATGGCTGATGGTCGGACTCCAAAAGATCTCCTGTAGGGAGAATTAGTTCAGGGAAATCGCCTCAGAGGAAGACCACAGCTGTGATACAAGGATATCTGCAAGCGGGATCTGAAGGCCTTAGGAATGGGCCTCAACAGATCTGAAACCCTGACAGCTAAGCTTTCAGCCTGGAGGCAGGTGGTGCATCATGACCTCTCCCATTTTGAAATGACACTTATCCAGTAGGCCGAGGCAGAGGCAGTCCCGAAACCAGCCAAATCAGGGAGCTGGACAGGGGACAGCTTTTTGGAGAATGGAGAATTTTGTACAATTTCTGGAGGAGTCCTGTCATATGTGACAAACTATCAAATTCTCATTTGCAGAAAACAAAAATTTGAGGTATCTGAGGATATCTTATGAGCTTAGTCTACAAGGATGTGCTCTGGAGAATTTCTATGTCCTGAAATTAGTCTACAGGTTATGGTAACAACACAATAGCGATGGGGGTGATGGTGAGAAGGAATTTGAAGTACTATTTTGGGCATATCCTCTACAAGCCTTCGTCAGATCATGTGATATCCCACCATTTCTTCTTTTTTGCCAAATATCTTGAGCAACCAAGATATAATGTATCTTTAAAGGAGGACTACTTACCTAGAAGTATAATAATACACAACAGGATTGCTATCAAGGCCCCTGTGCTGAGCCCCACTGGCAGGAAGATGGCTTCAACATTGCAAGACAGGATAGTACCATCTGAGTCACATCTGCAAACCCGAATTGTCATTGTGTTTGTACTGCTTTGTATGGGATAACTGCTATCTTCTATCACAACGGGAAGGAAATACAACTCTTGCTGCCGACGGCTGTAACCACTTCTCCTGGCCACAATCCCAGCTGTATTGTCTGAAAAACAGAACATTCCAAATAAGCAGCTGATTTCCTCTTTTGCTTCATGCACTAGACATATTAAAAGTTATCTTGAGTCCTGAATAGTGGAGTGATAGTATCAAAAGTAAGCAAATAAATAAAATAATGAAGTGATGGGAAGCTAATGCCTGGACACAGACATTCTAACACATGTGTATATGTCACTGAAAATAGCAGTTGCCTCACCTCCTTTCTCTCTGGCAACATCAAGTAATACAAAACCATCATCACATTTTCTTTTTGCCTTCCCAAACATCAGGCAATAAGCTGGAGTGGGAAATTGTGTAACAAGCACTTTATTAATAGATGCCGTGGTTAACCTGAGTCATTGTGGGTTTTTCAGGCTCTTTGGCCGTGTTCTGAAGGTTGTTTGTTCTTCCTAACGTTTCGCCAGTCTCTGTGGCCGACATCTTCAGAGTGCTGTCCTCTGAAGATGCTGGCCACAGAGACTGGTGAAACGTTAGGAAGAACAACCTTCAGAACACGGGCAAAGAGCCCAAAAAACCCACCACAACCATTAGATCCCGGCCGTGAAAGCCTTTGTGAATACACTAACCTAAGTCATTTTGTTGCTTCAGATGAAAGCAAGATGGTGCCTTTATCCCAATCCATACAGTGAAGCTAATCTGATTAACAGCTGAACCTTCATTCATACTGGCAAAGGGATAGTAGTGTTCTCTATCACACTTGAAGACAACAAGCTAGCTCAGGGAGCAAAGGGAAGACCACACAACACACATGGTCCTTGGATTCCATTCCTCACTTCTTAGCATGTACTGTGTGAGGCAAATGCCATACCCAGCCACATGGAGGGACCAGCCTTATTAGATATTATGAGGTGGGGAGCTGCTGCCACTTTAAACCTCACATGAGCATTAACAGTGAATTTCTGTCCTATTTCAGAATGAGTGAGACAGTTCCCTTGTTCCATCATTACCAAAAGTGTCACATTCAAATCCCTCCTTCCCCAGGCAAATGTTAATTAGTATGGTTCTCAAGCCAGCTGAGTTTGACAGCAAACTTGTCAGAGAAGACAAAAGGACAAAGGAAAAAGACAAGAGGTATCACATTAGTAAGGGATGTTATATCTTCCCTAGCTCTGGTTTCTTGTTTTTCCTCAGGTTTGCTTGGATGCCCTTCAACTGCTGTGATTTTTCTTCTGTGCTCCAGCAGGATGGGAAATATGGCTTTCTTGTTCTGCCAGTTTCCTCTAGAGAAATCTTTAAGAAGGTAGGAAACTTTCCCGAATCCTAAATCTGTTCGGAACAAATGATTAAGAATAGTCCCACCAGAAATCAAACTAGACACTCAATAGCATTGATACATTTGCTAGCAATCTCTGGCTAAGGTGAGCCCAAGCCTCTGTGAACAGCGTTGTACCACTTCCCTCAGTAGGTGCTCAGTTATTGCAGTTTTCCACTGAATCAAAGCAAGCCGATGAGGAAAAAAAATTGATATAAAGATTAAAAGGATTAAGCAGGAAGGAAGATTAGAAACCAATTTGCTGGCAGGTCTGATTGGGATTGCCTGTGGTGCTCTCTTCTGCTTTATTATCTCTCTAGCGCTCTGTGGTTCACACAGCATCTCCCACATTACACAACACTCTCTATTGGATATATATTTTGCTTCTCTCTTTGAATGCTGCTGTGAAGGAATTGAGAGATGAAGTGACACATCCTGTTTTCTTGCAGATAGGCTCCGTTCCCATTGGAATTATCAGTTGCCAAGTACTGAGTATTTGTATTTGAAGAGATTCATTTTAAGGATAAAACTCCTGAATAGATGCTATGGCATTATATGCGAACATACAGCCCCGCTAATGTTGCATATTAGCATATGGTGCTTTATTTTAAGGTGAAAAACATGAGAGTTACCATTAGAGTTAGAAAAAGCTATTTGGATATGATATTAGATTTATAGCCTATTCCATGATAAAGTTTTGGTTGGAGCTTTTACAGCTTCACATGCTGCCTCTGGTGGATGTGGCTGGGAGAGAACTTCCTGGTCTGGATAACTTTGTCTATCCAGCACTAACCAATAATTCTTTTCCTCCACTGAATTCAAAGACAGCCCCACCTCTCTTCTGAGTTCATCTTTTCCTCTCTTGAGTCTGCTGGAAGCAGTAGTTTGATGTTGGTCTGTTCACCACTATAAGTAATGAAGCATTTTTATTGTTTATCCTACTAATGTCTCAGAGTGAGGTATTGAGACTTTAAGTGCCAGTTAATGAGAAAGGGGTGGACTATCTAGGGAACTTGTAGCTATTCTTCTCTGTATTTCTGCTGTGTAGCAAAAGGAATTTTATAAAAAACTGAAACAGTTTCATGGTTGCTTTCCTTATCTCGTTCAATCTCACTGTTTTATCTATTAAATAGGACAGGAGGATCTCACACTACCTTCACTGCCGCATCATCACTCTTCATGTGTGAAGATGAACACTTTAATATATCTATATTTATCTATATCTATATCTCAGTGGATTGGGTATCTGGCTGTGGAGCCAGAAGTTAAGAGTTTAGTTCCCCACTGTGCCCCATTGACAGGGGCTGGACTTGATGATTTATAGTGCACTGTGCCCCATTGACAGGGGTGGGACTTGATGATTTATAGGGTCCCTTCCATCTCAGCAGTTCTAAGATGATGATGTCTATATCTATCTTTATGACAAAATGAACTGGCAATGTATTGTTATACAGCATCCTACCATCAGGACTGTCTCAAGAGTTTGTTTACCAATTCAACTCAAGGTGGATATTACTCAATGTCAGGCAAGATCATTTAGCACACAGGATTGGAAACCCCAGAAGACCTATTCCCATCTCTCAGAGGAAAAATTCTGTAACAACAAATTAAATAACTAACCATTTGCTGGATTCCATGACACCCAGAATGTGTTCCATGAGGGGACTGCCTCACTCTGCCTATTCGCAGGCCCTGATAAAAATCCTCTGTATGATATTCCTCTGTGTTTATAACTCCTCCTGACAGTACACGTAGTAAATACAGGGCCTGGAAAGTTAGGTTTGAAAATTAACTTGTTCATGTCAACCATTAAAAACTGGACGATTAATTTGGTGCTGTTAAATTTAAAACTGAAATTGAACTAGCATTATTAATTTGATAATTAAATTATTTGTTCTGGAAAGAACAGTGGTACCTGCAGGGCTTCTTCACCATTTATGGCTAATCCCACATTTGTTACTGTCTCCATTCAAAAAGCTCTTTGTACCTCTGTAAAACTGGTTTCCCCAACAATACACTTGTTTCTAAACATGCTACAATTCTCATAATACAGATATGGAATCCAACATGTCTGAAAACCATAAGGCTAGGGGAGATTGTTTGTCCTGCAACATGGGCTCTGTTGTTGCCACCTCCCTTAGGAAGAAAGAGGAAGAAAAGGAATGTATGTTAGAGAAACAATCAGATGTCTATTTGAGTAGATTGATGATATATATATGATTTAGTGACTTTGAAATCCTTCCTTTCACTCATGGGCTAAGAGTCTTTGGGTTTTTGTATATTTTGTACGGTGTATTTGAAACAGTCTGAAGACCTCTTCAATAAACATTATATTCATATTCACTAATTTCTTAGACCACTTTCACATGGAACGAGCACAACACCATAGAAGAAATTAGTAGAACAGTACATGTTAAGAACCTCTTCAGCCCTCAGCACTGATATTTTCATTGTCCATTTACCAATTTATTACCATAGCCATAATATTTATGGCCCTGTCATGAACCTGCCCCATAGAGGCAAATTCCAGTCTCCCATGGACTTACTTAAGACATATTTTTAGAAATTTGCATGTATAGCAAAAGACCCTCTGACCTCCAGTGGAAGATAAAGCTGGGATTATTTGCATGACCCCTTCTCTAAGTACAACTCTTTTTTACTGAATCTCTCTGAAGGCAAATGATGGTTAACACTAAGACAGCAGGCACCTCCCCTCTATTCAGTATTGCTAGTATGTGTATTTCGTGCACTGCAAGCTGAATAAAGGAAAAAAATTAGTGGCAACGAATTAAACCTTACACATTTCCAAATTCTAAGTAAATATCACTGATGCAGCTATGGTTAAGAAAGATGAGCAATTATCTATCAGTTAAGTGGTGGCTGTTTCAACAGGAGCAGTGCTCAGTTTATTTAGTTGTATTTCCTTCCCCTCTTCCCTTGTGGATTTCTCCATAATGCTACAGGAAGAATGTGAAAATTTGCAAGTCTTGATTTGGTTGCATTTATCCAAATTTCACTTGAATTCCTCCCCCCCCCCATTTCATACTGAGGGTTTTTTGTATGTTTGTTTGTTTGCAATTTAAACATTTTGCCTAATGTGCACACATATTTATGCATTTTACAGTATTTATGCATTATCACCAATGACTGAAGAATACTGACACACTCCCCCCCCCAATCTTAAACATTTTCATCTTCTGAGTGATTGTATTTCCCTATACAAGCCTTCTCAGCTTTTTAGATCTTCTGGAAAGAGCCTTTTCTTGATTCCATCAGCTTCCTAAGCTCGTTTGGTGCGGACATGAAAGAGAATCTCTTTAGTAACTGCTCCCAGGCTTTGGAATGTTCAACCCTGTGATGCTAAATTGTCCCCCTCCGTCTTGTCCTTTCAGGCAGAGACCAGCTTTTAAGTAACAGGTAAGGGTCTCAGGAATGCTATATTTACTGAATTTAGAGTTTCTTACATGTTTTTAACATTGTTTTTAATTGTGGCTTTAAGACTTATAAATGTTTAATTGTTTTTACTGTAAGTGCAGCAGCTGTTTATAGCATTCTTAAATCTGTGATTATTGTATAGTTATAATTGTTGTGAGCTGCTTTGGGTCTCCTATGGGGAAAAGGCAGCATATAAACAAACAAACAAACAAACAAACAAACAAACCCCGTGTATTTTTAAAATGTGGGCACTTTATTTCTGAGAAATGACTTAGGAACTTCACAAATGTGTGTGTTTCAAGCTATGTTTTTTTCTCAAAACAAATCTAGGAAAATATGAAAACATTACTTTCGCTGAGAATGATAAATGCAGTGATTTCCCCCTATTTATATGCTAGAACCACAACTGTGAAATGCTACCATCTCTGCATCTACAAACTGGTGAACCCTAGGATTTCTTTGTCTAGAAAACACAACTGTCATCCATTTTACCTAACTCTGAAAAACTACACATATTGGAACACCTCACACATTGAGACAGAAAACTATAGCCATGACAGCAACAGAACAAAATAATTGGCAACCTCATTATCTGAAGCGGAAAGATAAAAACAGTCTTACTTCTGAAATCGTGGACTGTGAAATTTGGCTTTGTAGAAACCTCTGGTGAGAGTCGAAAGGAGAATCTTTGCCCTGCAGGTGACAGATCCTTGTCTGCTGCACCAACAATCTGTATTACCTAAAATCACAAAGGAGTACAATTCAATCACACATTCCTGACTGAACAGAAAAATCTTAATATGATCACCATGTAACAGAACAAAAGTAGACGTTAGTGTATTACAAAAACACATGGTGGACTACACTTCATGCCTACTGAGAATTTATTTTTGATTGTAAGAATAGAAAATTACATTGTAGTTTGTCTCTTTTATTTTGTGTTTTTTTTGCTTGAGAAGAACAAGCAGGAAGTGGCACAGTCCCTTAGCTGTGGGTGTCTGTTTCTCTATTTGCAAAATCTTTTTCTTTTAAATCTCTGTTTGCAGTTTGGATAACTTTTAAGGACATCAGGTTCATGAAAGACTTGCAGAAAACTGGCTCATAAGCATATCTCCTACATCTGCTAAGCTCTGAGTACAAAAGAAAAGAAAAAGAAACCAAAAACTAACACAGGCTGAGATCTTTGGAACTTTTGTAGCTATCAGATGTAGGAATTCTTGCTTCAGTTAATTGTGATAAGCATTTTGTGACCCAGTAGTTCCCAATGGCCAATAGTCAGGATTTCTAGGCACTTGAGAAGCCAAGTATGGGAGCCACTGCTCTAATCCTAGTTCAATGACCGAGGTAGTATGGAATATCCACAAACATCCAAATGTTTAGGTGTTGGCTAAAAAATACTAGCTACAGCTGATACTATGTTAGGTTAGCAGGAAGAAAGTATGTGACAAGGGAAACAGATGGCATTAGCAAAGTGTTGATGAACTATTTAGACTGTGTCCATATGAATGTTGAGTATGTTGAAATGAACAGTGCTCATCCGAAAAGTGGATCTGAATACTGCATTTTAATTGCATGAATCAGTAATGTGTCAAAGAATGAAGGATGAGTGGATTCAAACAAGTATAAGCATGCACAACTCTGAAATATTGAGATTCTCTACTTGTTCCAACATAAGTTATTCCTTGTTTCACCACTGGCTTACTAAATTATTTTCATTGCATCGCTAAGCCTTGTAAAGCAAATACATATTATTCCTAGAGTGTTTTGGGCCAGAAAAGGTCCAAGGTGCTGCTCTCGTTATAAATCTGAGTATTCTCATCCAGACTCAACAGTCTGCTCACAGATTGGGGAAAGCAATTTAAGCATTCATATATCACATTTACTTTTCCCCTCATACTCCACTTTGACAAGCCATAGTTGTACATGCAGATATTTTCATGAAATTCCCTGCCCCTCCCCTTCTCCTTTGTCTTCCTTCTTCAGAGGCTGCATGTCGTAATGACCTCGCTTGACTTTGGGTTCTACAATTCTAAACACTGATGCTGTGTTACATCAAAACCAGTCTTCAAGGCTCTTCAGTTGAAAAATTGTTCTCCTTCCTGCTCTTCTTTTCCCATTTACAGTGGACCCTCTACTTACGGAATTAATCCGTATTGGAACGGTGGCTGCAGGTCGAAAAATCTGTAGGTCGAGTCTCCATTGACCTACAATGCATTGAAAACCGATTAATTCCGTAACCGGCCATTTTTGTTCCATTTGGGTTTTTTTCTGGTCTGTAGGTCGATTCTCTGGCTGCAAGTCGAACCTAAATTTTGCGGCCAGAGAAGTCTGTAACTCGAAAAGTCTGTAAGTCGAGCTGTCTGTAAGTTGAGGGTCCACTGTATTTCACCTTTGATGATCAGCTGAAAAAAAAATCTGTAATGATCATTTCTAATTGTCTGGTCAAAGTGTTCTACTACTACTAATTCTACTAACTGTGTGACTGAAGTATTTTACTGCATATTTTGCATTTTATGATTTCTCCATCTCTATTTATTTGCTTTGGTATTTTTTCACTGGAAATCTCCTTATCCAAGAAATTCTTAACATCCTAAGAAGAAAATCACTTTTCAATTTAATCTGTCTTTTTTATATATATTCTATCCTGTGTCCACAATTCTATACCATGTAGTACAACTGAAAATAAATAGCACCACACAATGCACAATTTCAACACCAACATTTTTGTTGCATATTATATCCTTCCTGTGAAGAAAATAGTCCCAGGACATTTCTATTCTGACTTCTATAACATAATGACTATGATCTCATTTTTCATTCAACAACTTTGAAGATATCAACATGCTCAGCATCTTTATTTTGGATCGTTAACATTTCCTAATGCTTTCTTTTTTGCCATATAAATTGATGGCTGCCACTGAAAAATGTTGCACCCCAGTTTAGGGCTACAGCTGTGTAGGACAAATTCTGTACACCAATGCCTCTGACATTGGGTGAACTGGCCTTCCATGATGGTTGCCTCAGTGTGATGAACAACAGGTAGTTGTATATACATGGAACTCTGGATCCTTACTCTTGCTGTTGCTACCATGACTGCTACTACACCACACACACATTTCCCACTGTCTCTTTAAGATCAAAGTTTGATAAAGTTGCTTTGTTGGACTGCAACTCCCCAAAGTATGCAACCAATGACCATACGGACTGTATGATTCCAAGAATTATAATTTTAAAAGCGTTTTCCCCAAACTCTGCTCATAATAATAATTAGCTTTTCCTTAACCTTGTACATATTTAAAAAATGGAATGGCCATGTCCTGGTCCTCATTTGAACACACAAAAATCAGGAAGATGAAACCACCATAGCTTATTGAAATGAATCTCTGAGCTAGCCAAGACTTTCCTCTATACAAAGAAGCCATCCAAAGCAGCCAATCTGGAGGTGCCAGCACCTGCTTAGAACATAGCTAGGACTCATGGTGCTAAGTCCACTAAATGGCAGCCATCATCTCATTGTGTGGCTTCCCTGGGGTCATCCACTCAAAGCAGCATGGTGGAATATCCAGAACAGATAAAAAGAAGTTGTTCTTAGCCTTCACTTCAGTTGTGGAATTTACTATCACAAGGTGTTACTTTGCCAACCTGGATGGTTAGAAAAGAGCACTTTGTAGATTTATGTATGTTATAGCAATCAATGGCTACTAACTAAGATGGCTGTATATTTCGTCTAGCACCAGAGACAGTGCACCTTTGTTGACAGGAAGTGTGGGACAGAAGGAGCCCATCACATTCATAGGCTGTTTGTGGATCTCCTCAGAAACAACTGACTGGCCAGTGTTGATATGAATACTGGACCAAATAGGACTTTGGTCCAATCCACCACAGCTCTTCTTATGTTCTCATATTCTTGTTCCATCAGTTTTAAGTGAAGGCCAAGTAGCAAGAGTGGTAGTGTCTCAGTTTAGTTTACTTCCTCTCTATCCCTGTTCCTGTGACAGAGCCGAGAAGGAGTGACAAAAACATCAGCCTCTATTACCACTTGTGTGCAGGATTGCCCCTATTCCCTTGCAGCAGTGGATGGTTTTATGATTTCAGACCTTTGATGTGTCATATCTGTACATTACGACTCTTACAAAAACAAAAGCCATAATGTGGAAAAAGGTTGTATAAGCAGTTAAGACTGGCAATTATTTAAAACACGTTTCTGCCTATGTAGAGGAGATCAAGAAAATGTTTCTATTCTAGGGGTGTAGTAATTCAAGCAAGAGAACTGTTGAGGCTGCAAGATTCATGTCCTTTGGGCAACAGCTTTGAATGAGGTATGGGGGAAAATGTTATGGGCTGGGGCCTGGGAACTCTCTGATTCAACAAAACTGTATTATAGAGTGTAACAGGTCAGATTTTGTTGCTGTTGCTACTGCTGAATAGCACCTGGAAAAAAAGAGTTTAGGGGAACTTTAAATGAGGGGTGGGGGAATGTACTATACACAGTAGTGAGGGTTAGCAGAATTTACTCCTGTAATATATTTTGTGTTTATATTTCTGTCTGTGAACATTTCTCCCACCCTGGCAAGGATATTGCTTTCTTTTATGAGTTTTGCTCCTCTGTAAGGAACTTGCAATCATCCTGCCTAACGTGAGTGGGAAATCCCTAGAGGCCAACTATATGGTGGCTGAATACATCTTTCATAGAGTCACAGTTAATTTGCAGAACAGTCAGTTCACTGTTCACTGAGCTATCTACGAAGCAAGAAATATGGTTACCTAAAACAAGCCTGCATGGCTTTTCATCAGCCAACATACATGCAGCAAATTGCCATGAGTTTAAAAAGTTATTTTTCAAAGGTAATTACTTACAGTTATAGTTCTAATCCTTCATCAGAGATTGAAAAGTAATTTGTTGCAGTTAAAATCCCAATCATTTTCCAGAGCTTAAACTATTAATTAGAGTTGAGGGTTTCTGCATATGAATATCCCTGCACAGCTGGACGTAACCAGGGTCTGGCCTCCTGGGACTGAACCGTCCACTGATGCGTCCACTGCCACTGTCAGCTCTGCTGTCCCTTCCCACCACTCTGGAGCTCGTGGTTGACTCTCCACTCCTGGCAGAAGAAGGGAAGACAAGCCTCCCTGCCAGGATGACAAGTGGACAGCTGACCGCAAGCTCCGGAGCAACTGGAAGTGGAAATGGAGTCAGCGGTGACAGCGGACACATGAGTTGATGGTCTGGCCCCCTGGGGGTTGGCCCCTCATTATGTCCAGCTGTGTGGTATACGAATACCCCCATCTCTACTGTTAATATTCCCTATTCCAACACAGATGCACTCTTCTTTATTTCTACATTTTATTTCCCCTCCCCCCACCTTGGGTTTTTGACTGATATTACCAACCCTCCTCCTTTCTTGTTTCACTCTTGCCTGGTTATCTGTTTTCTGTCTCCTGTTGGAATATTTATAATAGAACTTAACACCAAACATAGATCATAAATTACTGCATGTATGATGTAACCCCACACCAAGGATTCTTAAAGCCAATGGATGTTTTGAATTTTTTTACTTGTGATTTCTGTATTTCATTCTGCATTTCATTTTTCTCCGTATGTCTGAAGAAAGGGACATGATCCATGAAAGTTCACATTAAAATACAATAGTCTTTAAGGTGCCACATGTTTTTATTTTGTTTTGTTTTGTCTTGCTTCTTTGGATTTTGCCTGATGAGCCTACGAAATAGTGGCAGAAAGCCTGTTGTTTAGTGCAGTAAGTCACAAGTAAAATAGGAACTTAGAGATGAATTGACTCGCCAACTCCCCACTGATTCAGTGGGCCTATACTAGTAAAATGTACTAAGCTAAGGAACAGGATTTCATCCTATGTTTCCAAAGTAATTAGTTATAATTCCAGTTCTTTGATACTGCAGCTGTGATTTTAAAAGCAATTTGTGATTTTAAAAGCAATTTCCCATCCCAGAAAAACAACGATGAAACTCATTTAAGTTACTTTGAAAAATCCAGATGGTTCTCTTTAAATAATATGAGGCATGACACAAACCAGGACTTGAGGACCATGTTTCCCAGATCCAGAGAGAAGGCCATCCTTCAAATATTCAAGAAGCCATATAAATGAGATTCTTAAACTAGCTTTCCTTGTTTCTCACTCACTGTGCATGACTGAAAACACATTTAGCATTTAGAAGAATGAGTATACCTGTCCTGGTCTTGCATTCTCACACACATAGGACTCATAGGGCACTGCAATTTCAGGAGGAAATTCATTGACGTCTAAGACATTTATGATGACATTGACCTTGCTGGTTAATAGTGGATTGCCTGTTACAGAAAAAAAAAAGTTAAGAGATACTGGTAACACCTTGAGCAACATTATCTGGCATAGATGACTGAAAGATCTAACTACCTATCTTTCTTGACATGTCTTTTTATATTAGCAAAACACTTACAGTGAGAGAAGGAATTATGTTATAATGATGCAAAACAGGAGTGAGCAACTTGTAGACTTCCAGGTGGTGCTAAAACGCAGCTCCCTTCAGCCCTCTCCATTGCTATACCAGGTTTGGCTGATGAGAATTTCAGTTCAACAACATCCAAAATTCTGCCCTATAGATTGCTCAACTCTGATGTCAAGGGGGCAGAACACAGAGATATATAATTTAGATATACAGCTACATAAGGGCTTCTTTAGGTATAGCATAAGGCCTGAACTGCAGTAAGCTGGACATTGAAAAACAGTTGCAATATGTAAGTTACTCTGCGCGCGCGCACGCACACACACATGCTGGTTTCTATTTATTGGTCTTGATGTCCAGCTACAAACATAAACCGGTACTCTTCGTATTTGTCTCATTTTCACTGAACTAATAAACAGGGAACTGCTTTCCTCTTTTACTGCAGCTCCCAGAATTCCATAGGCAGAAGTCGTGACATTCCAGCCCAAAGAAGCACATGTATGCACCCTTACATTTTGTTGGCTGCAGAGCTGTTTTGAGCCTTGGTTTCTGTACAAAATGGGAAGCTGTTGTGGTGCTTTCTGGGGTTCTTAGTGTTTTGGCAATGACCAAAACTCTATGGAGACTAAAAGGCAGTGATAATATTATTGCTAAGGAATACCATGACTACTTCCTTTTTTGTCCATTAACAACTGGAAGCAAGGCCTGAAGAAGGTATGAAAGCTTTGGGGGGAAGGCCCAGCTGCAGGTGAGTGAACTGTAGGTGTTTGAATTTATCTGTAAGTGTGGGTCTGTGGGCTGGAACCCCCAGAATTCTGACTGGGAAATTTGTTGGAGAATTTTGGTAGTTGGAGTCAACAGACGAAAAAAGGAAGAGGAAGAGGAGGAAAGGTTACATCACTTAACTCTCCCTGAGCTACATTATTCCAGCCCACAAGCTGGAAGGAATTCGAAAGAATGAATCATCCATACCAAAAATATATATTTTTAAAAACCCATTTAAATAGAAAATCAGTATTCCAGAAGTAATTGTGGATAGTATCCCCGATCCTGAAACCAAGGTTTCCATATAGGCAGATTTTTAGATTGTTTTTAAAATGAGAGTCCACTTCTACTGTTAAAAGTGCTACAGCTCAGACGTCAGTGTATTACCTCCATTAGAGTAAAACCTACATTACTGTGATACAGAACAATACAGTCCTGCCCCGCTTTAGGATGGCACCGCATTATGATGAAACCGCATCACGACATTTTTGCGATTGCTTTTGTGATTGCAAAACGTTGGTCTGAATAGGCTTTTTTCGCTTTGTGATGATCAGTTCCCTGCTTCGGGAACCGATTCGTCGCAAAATGACGATTTCCCAACAGCTGATCAGCGGTTTCAAAATGGCCACCAGGTAAATAAAATGGCTCCCTGCTGTTATCTGGGACGGATTCCTCGCAAGACAGCCGCTGAAAATGGCCGCCCTATAGAGGATCTTTGCTGGACTGTGAGTTTTTAGCCCATTGGAACACATTAAAGGGGTTTTAATGCATTTCAATGGGTTTTTTATTTTTGCATTACGACATTTTCATTCTATAGTGATTTCGCCGGAATGAATTAACATCATAATGCGAGGCACCACTGTATATAAAAGGGGAACAAAGTCCATATTAAAAGTTCAAAGGGTTGATCTGGCTACTTAGAAATCATAAACGGATGAGCTTCTGAGTCCCACAGGATTCATCATCAGATTGGGCACTGCAAAGTAGGAATGTAAATCTTTGCTTATTTCATTGAATGAAAAACTTCAAATATTTTCTCTCCACTGGATGATATGATGAGTTTTTGTGCATTTTTTATATCTGGCCTTTCTTGGGTAAAATTTTGCAAAGTACTTTTTTCTGCACCAAAATGAAGTATTTTTCATCCAAACCACTGTATTCTGTAGAAAACGCAAGACATAGTACAATATTTTACGTGCAAAAAAGCGATGGCTTTTGCTTGTGCTGCTTCTATTGATGAAGGTGCTGATCTTTTTGCTCTCATGCAGGAACAAAAAAAAAAACTCAGCGTAGTGGACAATTAAAGTGTCAAGATACCCTTTTTAAAACTGAGGACAAGCAAAGCTTTGAATATTCATTAGATCTTTGCTGCAAAACATATGGAGGAAAGTGACATAAAAATTTTGATTCTTCTATGAACCCTGTAGAATAAACCATAAAATATAGAGAACTTTGGATGGAACATTCCATTCTAAGCCTAAAAACAGAATGGCCTGTCCTTGGGATAGTTTTCATGTTAAAGGTATAAAAGAGAATACTTCTATTCATATAATAGGAATTGAATGAGACAGAATCAGCCAGACCTTGTCAAAGAAAGACGAACCTTTCGTGTATGGCGTGATTTCTATTATACATTCCCTGTCATTGTCTTTATCAGCATAAGCTGCACAGCATTTATGCTGGTAGAAGAAAACCAGTGTGATCTTTTGAGACTGAACAGGATCTCAGATCATTCTTAGTAAAGATTATTTACTTTGAGAGAAGCAGTGAGATAAGCATCATCATTGATTTTAAATGCTGCCCTGTCTCAAAAGCCACAGATGCTCTTTGGAAAACATCTGTCAGAGTCCTCAAGGAATAAGACAGGCACAGCTGATCCTATAGACACCTGCTCTTAACCTTCAACTCATCCTCTGTGCTAAGTGGCAAAGTCCAACTTCATTTCTGCTTTCTGAGAACTGACAGGAGGCCACCTGGTGGGGTTATTTATAACTGGAAATAGGAGGACACTTCTATAGTTTGTCCATCCTTCATAATAAGCATCCGGAGTCACTTAACCGACTATGATGGGGAAGAGTTGGAAAACGAATTTAAATGAAAAAAAAATCCCACCCACCTTGTTTTCAATTAACTATAATGCAAAATAAACTAATAAAATAATGTTGATATTTTAATTTTAACCTGTTATTTCTAAGTTCTAATTCAAGTAATACTATGTTTGTCCACCCGCCAAAGGTACTCTGAAGATAGCAGTTGAGCTGAGAACACGAAGCCTAAAGGACGTGACGGATAATACTGTATCTGCCAATCAGAAGTCCTGTTCTTCTGATCTTTTCACTACATTTCCACCCAGAATATGCAGAGCTATGCAAACATTTGCCGGAAATATCTGTCATCCATTAACAAGTAGGAGGGATGCAGAATTTTAAAAAACCCAGAAATGTAACACTCTCATAATAGTATATGGTAAAGTCAAGTGGGAGCAATGGCTGGAACCCTGCTGTGCAGCTTCTCCTGCACAATTGTGATGGCATCATAAGCAAATCATCAATATAAAAGGCTTCCTTCAGCAGTTTCAGATTGCTCACAACTTCATTGCAGATTTGTTTGTTTGTTTGTTTGTTTGTTTATTTGTTTATTTCAGGCCTTTCTTTCCATGGGGACCCAAGGTGGCTCACATCAACTAAAGCTGTACAAGTAATAACTTAAAATATTAAATAACATATGAAAAAAATATTAAACATTTATTAAGATTAAAAAATAATTATAAAAACAGTCAAAATATCTAAATTTCATAAATGGACCATTCCTTAGAAAAGGAAGGTCTTTGCATGACAAGAGAAGGACAAGAGGGAGGGGGCAACCTAGCTTCTCAGACCGGTGCATTCAAAAGCTTGGTAGAAGCCACTGAGAAGGTCTTTTCTTATGTCCTTACTAAATAAGCTTGGAAAGGTGATGGAACCAAGAGAGGAGCCTCTCCAGAAGATCTTAAAAGCCAAGAAGGGTCCTACGGGGTGACACGGTCCTTAAATAGCCTGGACCCAAGCAGTGTAGGGCTTTACAGGTAGTAACCAGCACTTTGAATTGGGCCTGGAAACAGACTGGCAGCCAGTGAAGCTGTTGCGGTAAGGGAGTTGCATGCTCCTTGTAACCAGTGCCAGTCAGCGGTCCAGCTGCGGCATTTAGAACCACCTGAAGTTTCTAAACATTCTTCAAAGCAGCCTCACAAAGAGCATGTTGCAGCAATCCAACAAGACGTAACAAAAGGCAACTGTCACATCCAGAATGGTATGAGTCATACACATTCCTGTACCATCTTTAATCACTGATGATTTGCCTTTAATCAGAGGCTACTTGCAAGTGATGGTGACATCATCCCTGGTGTGTATGCAGAGAAGTGCAACAGGATTTCAGCGACTGTATCTGAATAAATCATGCCCTTGTTTCTTTCTGGTCCATATGTTCTGAAGTGATATGAATATTTTCTCTTGCCAAATCAGTTTTTAGGGGTGTCAACATTTGGCATTACGCCTGGGCATATGAGGTCAATCACTAACTTAAAGTATACTGGCAAAAATGAGTAAAATAAGCCCTCAGAATTTGTATGAATTGCTCCACTGTTGCAGGTCAATCACTTTGGGATGGGGAAAATTATAAATCAAGTAATTTTACAACAAAAGTGGCCAACATCAATTTCATATAAAGTGAACAAGCATGGTTGTCAAGAACATTCTGGGAACTGCTTCCATAATGGGTGGTTCCTTTTCTGCTATACTTACTGACTTTACTTGCAATTATTGAAAAATTGTACTGTGCAGTGGTCTCTCTGTCCAGTAATTCATTTGTGGCAATAGTTCCTTCCATTCCATCTATTGTAAAGTAACTGTCCACATCGCTCTTCCAGTCTATGAAGTACCTGCAGATTCCAGGAAGTAGGAGAGAGAAAAACAAGATATAAATTGGCAGCACCTAGTTTTTTATGAAGATATCAGCTGGTGCAACCTAATGGGTTTTGCTATTCCGATTTGATGAGTTATTTGCTTGTTTTATAATAAGGATACTGTCAGTGCCTTTGTGTTAAAGGCTAAATGGGGAGCAATGAAAGACGGAGGAAGTCAGCACAGAATATGTAAACATCTTTGACTTTATTTATGAAAGAGTGGTTCAAAATGTTGTCTCGGGTGTAATTCTACGTTTGTCTCTTTCCTTAAACACCATCAAAGTTTGAACAACATGTACATATCTATTAGGTCTGCAGACTTCTTCCTGGAAGACGATCAACTCTAGAACAAAACTGTAATTGTTTTATTTCTTTCTCTATTTGTTCTACTTCAGTCATTTTTTAAAAAACTGCTGTTCATAAATCCAGTTAAAACACTTCTGTTGCTGCCTTACCGTATTTGCCAACGTATAAGACTGGGCGTATAAGATGACCCCCCAACATTTCCACTCAAAATGTAGAGTTTGTTATATACTCGCCATATAAGACTACCACCCTCTTCCGCATGCGTGATTCTGCTTTGGCTGCATCATGGGGAGAGGTTGTTTTGCCGCTTTTGGTTCCTTTCACTGGGAGAGAGCGAGGGTTTGCTGGAAGAAGGACAGCATCTGCGCCGAACAGCTGACTGTCGGGAACCAGCAGAGAGGTGGCAGCCATTTTGGAGAGGCAGCAGCCATTTTGAGAAGCAGCAGCCATGTGGCTGCATCTCAAAATGGCTGCCGCCTCTCTCCTGGTTCCCGACAGTCAGCTGTTTGGTGCTAGAGTCCGGCTGTTCTGAGGCTACCAAGGAGGAGCGAGGCTTGGTCTACTCAGTCTTACTACCAGGTAAGTGACTTTGGTGGGAGAGAGCAAGGGTTTACTGGAAGGACAGCATTGGCTTCCTTCTGGGTTTGACTGATTGTTTAAGCGGGTCAGGTAGCTATAATTTGCTTTCATTGGGGGCTTGCTTTTAAGGAGTAGCCTTTTTTTCTTTCTTTAAAGCAAGACTTGCTGGCCTGACTTCTCGCTGTGGCGCAGCGGTTTTGCTGCCGCGCCACAGCGCAAGTGTCGTTAAGTGAGCAACAATCAAGAGGGCTGGTCCGTGGGAGTGCGAAAGCCTTTAGCTACCCCCCTTGTTTGTGTGTGTGAGTGTATCTGTGTGTGTATGTGAGTACGTGTGTGTTGCTTTTGAATTTTTAAGTGCATTCAGTGTATAAGACAACCCCCCCCACTTGGAGGCATGTTTTTCAGGGCAAAAAGGTTGTCTTATACACCGGCAAATACGGTAGGCTTTTCATGTTTTCATTGCAGGTTAAAAAGTATGCTTTATTTCACAATATAGTTGCATATTTATTTACTATATCCTGCTATTTTGCAGATTTTAAAATGAATAAATCTAATATCTCTCAGAAGGGAAAGGTTCCAGAGTTTATTCTGCCAACAGAATTCTGGTAAATGCTGCTAACTTTCTCATTCTCAAAATTAGGATCCAATTCTTGTATGCCATTCTGATATTTTGTAACCTGGAGCTCTGGTTTTTGACTGCATGTCAAAATCACCTCTGACAGATGGAGATCCAGCCACTGCTGACAAATCTCTAGAGAAGACGTGTCCACTAGCCTCTGAGGCAGTTAATTCTATTGTTAAATGACCCTCATTGTTAAGGAGTCTTCCTGATGTTTAGTTGAAATCTTTCTTGTAACTTGAAACCATTATTCCTGTCCTGTCTTCCTGAACTGCCTGACCTGCTTCATCTTTGACATGACAGCATTTCAGATATTTGAAGATGGCACTTATATGACCTCTCAGGCTTTCCTCCTCAAGGCTACACATGTCAAGTCTCCTCAACCCTTTTTCATAGGGCTTGGTTTCCAAACCAATTAGCTTTCTGGCTGCACTCTTCTGGACACCCTCCAGCTTCTTGATACCTGATTGGAGCTGATTTGAATAGATTTGTAGGAATGAAGTTTAATTTTTGTGAAAGGTAGAGCCCTACAAACTATGATATATATCATAGTTCAGATGCAAGTCTGTTAGAGTTCAACAGAATATATTCACAAGTGACATGTGCAAGAATTTGGGTTCCAACCATAGCCTTGCAGAAATGGTTTCTAGAAAATCACCTGCATGGTTTTTGGAAACAGAAATTGGGAGGACATTTTTCCAATTTTATTTGAAGGGAGGAGAAATTCTCCAAAAAATCTCAAAAAATGGGGTTTTTGCTGGAAGTGGCTTTATCACAGATATGTCATTTGTTGCCCTAAAGGTTTTTTAAACCTCCATTGCTACTCGAAGTAGCAGCAAAGGGAACAGATTTGACAGCTTAAACACCGTTTTGCTACCCCACAATACTGTAATATTATTCTGAAGCACTGTATCCTTATAGAACCTTTGTCTTGTGTCATTCTAGACACATTCTTGGGTAACTTGGGTGGGTTCTTGGACTACAACTCCCAGAAGCCTTCACCACTATCTGTACTGTGAGCTACAGTCTCAGAACACCTTGGTTCCCCAAAGTTGGGAACCACTATTCTAGACCATGGTGATGGGAAGACTCTTGGGAAGACTGCTATCCCTGCCTCCCCCGCTGCCAAATAGGGGAGAGATTTTGGAAATAATTCCACAAATTGGCTTTCTATTTCTAGGACTGTAATGATGGGTGGTGGCGGTGAGGATTCCGTGTATTTCTCTGGGAGCTGGGGAGGCTTCTGAGGAACATTTGGCTCAGTGTTAGTTGCCACTCTTCAGGGTTGATACAATTTGTCTTTATTGCAGGTGATGCTTCTAGAACAATTCTTCCTTTCTCTGTCTTGTACAGGTATGAGGGATGTGAGTGTCCTGTCTAACTCCAAAAATGAGATGAAGTTAAGGAAGTTATATGATTTATTCTACAGCTACCCAAAAGTATGTTTCACCATGAAAGAGGTTGTATATCATCAGGGCTTCTTACACTTTCTTTTGGAAATATTTTTGAGCATATCATACTCATGGAGACCAAAGCTACCACATTTGTTTTGTTCTATCACACATCTCTTCACTATTTTGTTGCTTCTCTGGCTCCCCATACTTCCTCGTTTGCAAAATACCCATTGGAGGAGATCTTATGAGCATTTCCCTGAACTTTAACTGAAACGTCAGTAGCTGGAGAGACTGCTGGTTATCACAGATATGATTGTACCGTATGAGACAGGAAATTGTCATACATCCTCGCTCACCTCAAAAGTAAGGTAAGTATGAGAATACTGAACCTCACCCATGAAAATTTATTAAAACTTTCTCCTCCTTAAAAATTCTTTTCAAAGGGAATTTCGTTTGTATCAAATTGACACAGAATAGTCAATGTTCTCATGGAAGAAATTTTCAGCACACCATTACTCCCAAAATTAGCAAATATGGGCAAATAAGTAGCTAAAAATAGGTGTGACAACATGCTAGAACAAAATTGCTGGTCAAAATATGAGGTATTTCATGGCAGAAATAGATGTTATCAGTCATTGTTGTTATGTGCCTTCAAGTTGGAACTGACATGTAGCAACCCTAACACGATTTTCAAGTAAGTGAAATGTTTAAGGAGTGGTTCTATCAGTTCCGCATATCCCGAGAGCTTCCATGGCTGAGCAGCGATTTGCGTCCAGGCCCCCTGAGTCCTATTCCATCACTCTATCCACTATACCACACTAGGTATCCAATGTGATAGTCATGAGATGAAGAAAATACTCTGAAGCATGAGTAGGAGCTACTTCTACCTTTTGGAATTTGGAAATCAGCTTCTGATTAGTCTTCAGGAATTCAACATAGGGTTCCTTTGAAGTCTGATTTCTCAAACATGAAAGATTGTCTGAATAACGCACCAAGTAGGATTTGGCCATAATCATGGGCTATCCATAATGTATGTTTCTGCCCTCATTGTTCTATTTACAAAGGTGACAAATGCCTCCAAGGCATACCGTATTTCCCCTAAAATAAGACAATTGCTCCAAAAATGCATTGGGTCTTATTTTCAGGGATGTTTTATTTTTTTCATGTACAACAATCTACATTTATGCAAATACAGTCATGCCATCTTCTTCTGGTTGCTGCACAGTGGTGGAGGGCGGGATTTCACCTAACTGGGACTTATTTGGGGGGTAGGGCTTATATTACAAGCATCCTGAAAAATCATACTAGGGCTTATTTTCAGGTTAGGTCTTATTTTCAGCGAAACAGGGTAGGAACTAGTTAGATAAATGATCAAGCAATGTCATTCATCCTGTGAACCTCAAATTTGTTTGCAGATAGAAGAAGAAACAGAATGGAACTGAAAGTCTGTGCCCCTACACAAATTACTTGTGGAGTCACAAACAGAAATTCCTGGAACATGGAAAAAAATATTTTAGTTTTATCCTTATCTAATTCTGAATCCAAAAATCACCAGCCCTATTCATTCATGGTACAAAGTAGTTGTCTGATTCAAATCTAGAATTTATTCAGATTCTGAAGGAAACCAGGGCATTTATCCATTTTCAAAGCAATCCAAAGAGAAGCATGGAAAGCCAAAGCAGTACTCAGATCAAAGCAGAGCCTTCCAAAGGCCTAAATATTGTTTCAAACGTTAAAAATAATGTGTTCTTTGAGAAAATTAAAGTCATGTGATAGAACAAGGAAGCTCAAAGCAGAAGGAGATAGACAGCACAAGAACAAATGAAAAGCTCATAACATAACCTAACCTCCTGGAAAAAAGCAAAGCAAAAAGCGTGCTGCTTATATAACCACCCCATAGTGCTTCAAGCACTCTCTGTGTGGTTTACAAGTTAATTATGCAGGCTACACATTGTCATCCCCCTGGGTACTCATTTTATTGCCCTCGGAAGGGTAGAAGCCTGAGTCAACCTTGAGCCGGTTACCTAGGATTGAACCCCAGGTCGTGAGCACAGTTTTGGCACAAGCACCCATGTGCG